GTACCAGGAAGTATGGAGGGCCGGGGCAGGCGCGACGGGACCGGGCAGGCGCGACGGGGCCGGGCAGGCACGACGAGGCCGGGCAGGCGCGACGGGGCCGGGCAGGCGCGACGAGGGGCTGGGCGGCTGCGACGGGGCCGGGCGGCAGCGACGAGGCCGGGCGGCTGCGACGGGGCCGGGCGGTTGCGACGGGGCCGGGCGGCTGCGACGGGGCCGGGCGGCAGCGACAAGGCCGGGCGGCAGCGACGGGGCCGGGCAGGACACAGCAGGGCCGGGCGGGGGCGACGGGGCCGGGCGGGCGTGACGGGCCGGGCAGGTGCGACAGGGGCTGGGCAGCTGCGACAGGGGCCGGGCGGGCGCCACGGGGCCGAGAGGCCGCGACAGGGCCTAGGAAAGGGGCGCGACGGGTCTAGGGAGGGGCGCGACGGGTCTAGGGAGGGTCGCGACGGGGCCCAGCTAGGGGGCGAGCGGAAGCGTTAGGGGGGGGGGGGGGGGATCCTACCTACGCGTGATACCATATCAGAAAGAGAATTGAAAATTGATTAGAGAGAGAGAGTACACAAACATATACCTAAATGCTGTACTCTCTAGAAGGTGACCCTATACAGTCTATACAAACATGATAAGTACACATGTTTGACAGGTACAACACTCTTATGTATATTCCCTTGTACTCTCATTCTCACTAACAATTCTTCAGTTCTAGGAATGTCAACCAGAGAATCGCAGCCCATCCACTGCTCACCGATTAGAGCCCTGTCTTCGACCAATAGTGTTTCACAGCTGTTGACAGAAGAAGGCCTGTTCCCAAGGAGCGTTGTAGGGGAACACAATTCAACAATAGGAGAATTTTCCAAGCTGGAGCCTGCTTTGAGAACGAGAGCCCTTCGATCACCATCCACGGCTCAGCCGTTGAATCAGGACGCAAAACCCTATCCCTATGTTTCGGCTCGGGTCACCCCCAGGTAGTGCCCCAGTGGGTCACCGACGTGCCTAGCACCAAACCTGAATCACGGTCGGAAGCTCTTTCGTTCTGTCGCAAAACGTCGCAGAGCGACGCAAGGCATCATCTCTCCACAGAGGAGAAAAGTCCAGCTACATCCAACCGCGTGCTCCAGACGGCTAGTTCCACACTGCAGAAAAAAGCTGTATGCATCTTGGCCCAAAACCCGTCTAAGCTACTATAATCCACAGACGTTCTTGTGGCTTACGTGCTTCAAGCTCATAAAAAAAACCGTCAAATGCTTGGCAAGTTGGCACGGAAAATGCATTTCGCGCACCCAAAGATTTTACACAGCTTGCGAAACGTGTTACCATAAACGCCAAAAGCGCAACTGTACGTTCCACAACCTCAAGAGCTTGGGCAGTCGGACCAAGCGCGTCAGGTTCGGACTTTGTACTCTTTACAGTACGGGAGGAAGGCACTGCCAAGTAGGCTCACGCTGGGTCGGTCTAAAAGCGGCAACGATTATTCCTGCCAAAACAGAGTGAGCTTCTTTGCTCAACAAGCTAGTCTTTGGCTAATTATGTGCTGTTTTGAATGGAAGTACTCGAGAGATCAATACTTACCGTAATCCCCCGTATATAACACCCTATGGTGGATATTAAATTCACTAAAAATATGACAGGGTCTTAACAGTGGCCCGGAAAAATATAGTGCCCATGTGTTATGTAAAATGCAATTTGAATTTGAGTGTTTTAAGGCTTATACAGCTACCGGTTCTTGTTCAGACGATGTTGGCGATATGAATGCAGTTGCATACGTGTCAAATTCGATATCAGCACGACCAGGCGTGGCCAATCCCAGGCGGCCGTGCCTGCCAGCGGTAAAAATGCAGCCACAGGCTGCCAGCGCAGGGTAAGAACGGCTGACCGTGCGGTGGATGCTGCCAACGCAGCAGACTTGAGGGAATATGCCCTTCCAACTTGGCATATCGAACCTGGCATGCAATTGTGTTTCCGGTTTGCGAAAGACCGTGCGCGCTCCGGGCTGGGGTTCCAACCACGTTTCTTGCTCATCCCTTTCTTACCGCAGCGTTCTTTTTCAGTTCTGCTTTTGTTTCTCGACACAAAACCCGTCACGATGCCCGGGCTCTCTAACAGAGGCTCGGGCACTAGTCCCTCGACTAGCAATCTCCCTTGCAGGTGCTGCCATGGCAGCGCGTACGTTTAGCGGCCTCTCTGTATTGCGCACCCATCGTCCTCTCTCCGGCAATCAGTTCCTACTCCGTCCGTTCTTGTCGATTCCCCCGGCACCACCTGCACCACCTGCTCCTCCCGCTCCACCTGCGCCACCTGCACCTCCTGCACCTCCCGCACCTCCCGCGCCTCCCGCTCCCTCGTCGCCGAATCCCAGGCGTCCGCCTGAATGGGACAACTCATGGCAAGACGATGAGGACGATTTGTACTGGGAGGAGGCTGCCGACGGAGAGCCTGAGCCTCCGCCGACACTTCCTCGAGTTGCTATTCCGTCTTTCCCTCAGCCTAGGCGTCGTCCCAACATGCCTCGCGTTAACCGTGATGCCGCACCTCCCTCCCCCAGAAATTGCAGGACGAGGCGCAAAAGAGTCTCACGCACGGCGGCCGAGAAGCTCTTCTGGTTGCGCAAGCTTGACGACGACCCTAATCTATCCAACCGCAAGCTCGCAAGGATGGCGGATGTCCAGCCCTGTCAGATTCGCGAATGGAAGAAGAACAAGGTGAAACTGGCGGCGGCTGCTGGCTGCAGGCGTCGTCTCGTCGGCTCAGGGCGCAAGGCGAAGTTTCCCGACATGGAGCGCGAGCTGTACAAGCGCTTCCTCTCCCATCGCGCGCGTGGCTTGGCAGTCTCCATCAACTGCCTGCAGAAGTGGAGTCGGAAGTACATGAGGAAGCGGCACCCTGGAGTCGATTGGCGAGCATCGTCGCGATGGACCTTCCGTTTCCGCACACGCTGGGGTTTGACGAGGCGTGTGAAGACCAAGATGGGACAACGCCTGACATCCGGTAAGTTTCATTTGCTCCGAGTCTTTCCACGCCGTTTTCCTTGCATAATTGACTCTCACTCTTGCGGGTTCTTCCATGTCTACCTGTTTTTTGTTCTTGATTTTTTTGTGCTTGCAGATTGCGAGGCAAAAGTGGAGAAGTTTTGGGAGTTTGTGCGTCAGATGCGGAAATTGAACTGCTACCCCGACGACTTGATAATCAACGCCGACCAAACACCTCTGTTTCTGGAGATGCCGCAGGAGACAACGCTAGAGGTCCGGGGCTCAAGGACGGTGCACGTGCGCACCGCCGGCTACGAGAAGGAACGGCTGACCGTCATGCTGGCGGTCACTGCTGCTGGACAGAAGCTGAAGCCGTATGTCATATTCAAGCGGAAGACCGTGCCCAATATCCGAGTCCCCCCTGGTGAGTTGAATCTTGTTGTTTGATTGACTCTGTTTATCGTAATCCCCGTCCCATCCGTGTTGTTTTCCTCTTTTTCTTGACCCCGCCTGATATGCTTGTGTCTTTTTGTGTGCAGGCATCGTCATCCGTGCGCAGCCGAAAGGATGGATGGACGAGGAGCACGTGAAGGACTGGATCACAGCAGTGCTCGTCCCGTTCCTTAAGCGAATCCCTGCGAGGCGTGGCGGTCGGGCGAAAGCCCTCGTCGTCCTCGACAGCTACAAAGGGCACCTGACCGAGGGCGTGTCAGCCGCGATGCGCCTCTTCAAGCTCTCCAGGGCCGTGATTCCTGGCGGCTGCACGCCGATCGTCCAGCCACTCGACGTGGCTATCAACCGCTGTGTGAAGGCGCATGTGAGGCGGTCCTACACAGGTTGGTTTGAAGAGGTTGGCTGCGATTCAACAACACCCGCAGGTGAGGTCGATGCCGCTCTGTGCCTGCGTTCCGCGCTGCTTTCATTACGTGTGCTCCGTCGTATTCATGGCCATTCAGACGCTTGCTCTTTTTATCGATTAAGTTTTTCCGACTCTTAAAGACTGCCTTCTCTACCGCCTTATCTCTCTGCGCCCCCGCCAGGAAACCTCAAGAAGCCCCCCGCGGAGGTGGTGCTACAGTGGGTCGCAACCGCATGGGAGGCCGTCCCTGCCGAGCTCATCCGAAACGCCTTCAAAACCTGCGGCATCTCCACCGACATTAATGGGACGGAGGATGAACTCATCCTCGCCCATATGAAGGACAAGTCAGATGTGGAAGTGATGGATGATGTGCACGCGGAAATGGAGGAGAGCGGCGAGAAAAACCCACTCTACGAAGCAGACTTCGTCGAGCCCGCCGCAGACGAGCTGTCCGAAGATGACGACGACGACGACGACAGCGACGTGCCCCAACCTGCATCGACGGCATCCGGCTCAGCCGAGGTAGCAGAGTCCTCCGCTATGGCGGAGGCGCGTCTGACGGCAGCAGCAGCAGCTATTGCAGCAACAGCGACGGCCGCGACAGCAGCAGCAACAGCAGCAACGTCGGCAGCTGAAACATCTTCGACCAGTGATGACTCCTCTGAGATGGCGCCAGCGGCAGAGGTGCTTGCTGGGCTCGCGGCCTCCAACTGGACAGACGACTATGACTGGGATGACATAGCGTCCGACGATGACGACGTGGAGGCGTGGCACGCTGGCGACGAGGACGACGAAGATGATGAGGAGTAGGTATTAGACTGATTTCTGACTGGGCTTGAGCCCCTCTAGATCTTGCAGTAGTGTTTAGATGTAGCTTCAGTAGCTAACTCTTGACTAGAATTTGAGGCCTGTAAATGCAGCCGTTATAGAATCGTCCATGATGTACTTAAATTCTTAATATTGTATCGATTACACTAGCAACAAGGTGGGGGGTGTTATGTAAAATTCAAGGTCAAAAAAGCGGGTGCTCTCCTAAATGCACCCTATCATAAGCTCTGCCCCGCATAAACCACCCACGGAGTGACTATTCCGGCGGGTGTTATATACGGGGGATTACGGTAAGTCCTGAAGAGAAGGATGGGAATGTTATTTGGTGCAACAAATGGAAAACTGACCTAAATGAAAGAGGCTCTTTTTATGATACTTACACTAAACAACTCTATTTACCACCCCTACTTTTCAAGAGCACAATCAGTACTAACGACCAATCAGGTCGAAAACGCTAAGGGAGTCACTCCCACCCAGGAAGCTGAAAACGCCGTGCACACTTCTACCAGGCCTCGACATCATGGCCCGCTATCATGCCTGTCACCGTGCCCACTGAACGAAAACCAACTGAGACTTCTGTCAGATGCAGACTTAACAGTCCCACAAAGGAATTCCCCCACGACGCCGTCGTCCCACATGCACGAGGCAACTCGTTTCAATGGAAAAGACTCGCTGTGAGAGCCTTGGCCATCAAGACTGCCACACTCCCCCGAGGAACCCCAGCATTGGCTCCCATCTCCTGCTTCCAGCCAAGGCGCCTCCTGAAGAAGATCCTGGAACGAGGTATCGGCGTTCGTAAGGCCAGGCGGAAAAGCCAGTAGAAAGTCCTCCGCTGCAGCAATTCCAGCAGGGCTGCACGGCTCAGGGATGCAAAAGTCAGCGCCGCACAGCTGCTCCAAATCTGCAGGCAGTGCCTCAAAAAACCCCATGCTGGGGTGGGAACAGCCTGCAGAGGACGTTGCCTCTTCAGTGGGTGTCAGACGGACCCTCTTAGCGCACGGCCAGCCTGCATCGTGAGCGTTGGTTTCCTCCAGGAATTGGCCGGAATTCCCGCCTTCAGCCGTAAGCGCTTCGCAGGAGCTGAAGAGGAGGGATGAAACGGCGGGAGCATCTGTCAGAGATGCAGTCGACTCCCCACTGCTCTGCGGCTGGAGATTTGTACCATACGTGGCAGCAGCAGCAGCAGCAGCAGCAGTAGCCGCCGCTGCCGCACCACCACCAGCCGCCGTGTCCGATCGCAGATTGGTGGGAGTGGGACTAGCTTGAGAAGCGTGGCTAGCAGCGCCTCCATTGGAAGCGAATTCAGCAGGGGAGCGATCGTTGCTGGGGAGTGAGGCCAGCGTGACGCTGCTGATGCTGCTGATGCCGCTGATGCTGCTGATATTGCTCATGCCGCCGAGGCTCCACGAGCTCGATTCCGCGGCGTCGGGGGAGCAGCCCTGCGCGATATTGTTATCGCCAGAGCGGTTCAGAGGAGTGGGGTGGTTGTGGGAGGGTTGGTGTAGTTGGTTCGTGTGGTGGACATTGAGATGGGAAGGCGGCGGTCGTAGTCGACTGTCTTCTTGGCCGGGCAGGGGGGCTTGTTCTTGGAGCAGTAGCACTTGTAGTAGCACCTGCAGCAGCCATAAAATCCCAGCCACAACAGCCAAATGCAGCCAATTAGACATGCTGGAAAACGCCGCTATCGTGCGTAAGCTAATGCAGCACTGGAAAAAAGGGAAACCCTGCTACCTGTGGTACTGTTCGTCTCATTTTGACAAATACGACTCGGTGTGAGTCGTGTGAGAGAATAAGGGTCAAGCAGTGCTTACCGTATGGTGTGGCTGTTGTGCACGTTCTTCTGCCCGTACTTGAGCCACAAGTACCCGTCGGCGCGCACGATATCCTGCATGTTCTCCTCCATCGCCGACGACGCATGTCCCGCCGCGGACGCCGCCATGAAGGGCGAGAGCGGCGTGTCCCGAGGCGGCGACCCGGACGAGCCAGTGGCTTTGGCGTCAGCGCGCACGATCACATCCTGCGTCAATGGCGGATATCGTGCCGCGCACTGACACGCGCGCACGATCGTATCCTGCGTCTTCTCCTCCATCGCCGGCGACGCCAATGGCGGATATCGAGCCGCGCACTGTCGGAACTCATCCGTCACCGACGACGAGGGTACCGGCGGCCGGGATGGCATGATGGCGGGAGGGAGCGACATTCAATGTCGAATTTCAAGGTCAACTTCAAGTAGAGCGGTCGTGAAGGTGTTCCCGGGATACGTCGGACTCCGAGGTGGCGATCCGGGTCTGGTTCTTGAAATTTCTCAAAAACCTATCACGGCCTCGGACCGTTTCTCGACGGGAACGCGCTTCTCCCGGCGATTCCAGAGAAGAAATCAGAGATATTATCGCGAATCGCAGTACTCTGAGGGCCTCCCTTTGACTTAAGCGGGAGGCGGATCCTATTTGAGGTTCCGCAGGGAGTACCGCCGGAAGTATTGCCGGGAGTCCCGCCGGGGGTATCGGCGGCGCCGAGAGTTTCGCCAAGTCCAGAGAGTTGACGCGTGAACTTCACGTTGAGACGTTCGGTTGAGTGCACCGAGGGAGGTAAAGCGAGAGCATTGGCCGTATGAAAAAAAGAAAGACTCTGAAGCACAAGGAAAGACGAGCTCCTTTATCTCCAGGTTCTCCATAGCTGTCAACCAACTTGCGGATGGACTGTTCACGGGAAGGGAAAAAGGGCCCCTGAAAGACGGCTGTCGGTTCGCTCAGAAGAAATAATTACACGTGGCTAAGCCAACGCTCAATCGTGCGGAGATACTGTGGTGTGGCGGACAACGCTTCAAGCCAGATGCTACAGCCAGCTAAGTAATCGTGGGAATCTCTGCGCGTGAGTGACGCTCAAGGCGAGAGCCTAGGAGAATGGATGGATGGAGACAGGAGACAGACTGAGATGCAGGACAATGAAAGTACACTTAGTCCGCGGTAATCTAACAACCTGAAAATGGGCGGCAGAATAATTTTTGTTTCCACCCTGACCATTTCTGACTGGGTAGAGAGTACCCCCTTGTTCCTACAGCCTAAGCTTGGTAGGCTCCACACGGGCAAAAACTTTGAGCACTGCCTAAGCTGACGTCGGGTCTCCTGATTCGAGAAACACTAAATCGAGCAGTAAACGTTCCGTATAGAAACCCAAGTTTAAATCGTTTTTCAAGGGTATCCGGATCTGGTCTTCATGAGCTGCTTTCGGGGGTTAATACTCTCTCGGCGGCACCCCCTATGAAAATACTGGGTGTGAAAATACCGCCGGCTATATGTACTCCAGCATATGAGATGGGGTTTCAACAAGCCTTTAGTTCAAACTTTTTGAGCGGGTAAATAAGTTTTTTGTAGGGTACAGAGTGGTTCAAGTAAGATATTGTGACAAATTTGTATAGTCACACACGCCGAACACTGCAGTATCGAAGAGTCCTGCCTCATTTATGGACACACTGGTGCCTGTCAGCCTATTTGTCCAATGTAACCCTGCGTTGCCGTCGTGGTTATGACCATCAATAACCCTGTGTTGCCGTCGATTGGGAATCTCGCGAAAAGTGAGTGGTGACGAACTGGCCGAACGACTGACGGACGAAATGAAATGCATTTGCGAGAGTCGCATAAGCTATGATGATGTGTGGGCTTATGGGATCATGATGACCCAATCCCATCCCATATGCTATGCTATGCTATGCGTGGATGCACCGTTTTCTTGTACAGCGGGTATGCTCTATGCTCCAAATCTGCGACTCGCTGATATCGACTTAGTCGAATAGGGCCCGTACGGTAGGGGCAAAATGGACTTACGAGTGAATATGGGGGGCGGAGAGACTTGTTTGGTATGTTCTGTTCATATAAGGGTGCCTTGTCCGTTGCTGCGACAGTTTGTGTTACTAGGTGACACGGAGGATTTCATAACTAGTGTCATTGAACAGGGTCCAAGATACACAACATACATTTCGTGAACAACGAAACAGCCAAACCAAGCCTAAAAAAAACCCGTGATGCCACATCATCACTGACACAACTAGTGACTCAACACACAATACAACCGAGCAACAACACATAATCTACTCGAAGTATAAATCGATCACACAGGTCACACACACTCCCAACTCCAAGTTTCGACACATTCTCGAAAAGAAATTCACTGCAAAACACACGACATGCACCGCAACACCGTGCTCCCTCACCGCATCCACTCAGCCGAATCCACCCAGCCGTCCATGATGGCCGTCGCCTGCAGCACATGCTGCCGATACTCTTGCGTAACAACACCTGGAGCAGAGTTCAGGTCCAATCAAGGGGAGGCATGTTCGAGACGATCAATGACCGACGGGTCTCGAATATCGAACAGAATGCGAAGGTTTCTCGGGATGAGCTCGATGGACCGCGCATAACCGACCAACATCTCGGTCGCCATGCAGCTGAGATGCCGGCGATTGCGCGAATCACGAACGGACTGCGCAAATTTCGGGGAACGGAGATACCATGCGCCGCATGCGGGGGTGTCGAGAGGTTCCAAAGCGAGAGGATCCTTGCCACATGGGTCGCATATCTCATCGTCGTTGTCGCACGTAACGAACTAGACCGCATTCATGCGGTCCTCGGCGTCCCAGGGCAGCCGTGACAAATTGTCAGCCACTTGCAGGAACTCGACGGGCAAGTTAGGTTCCTGCTCAGCGGCTGTGGTGCCGACCAGGGGGAGCCTTGCGAGCCAGCTAGCAGGTAGTAAACCCGTCCGCCACCAGCACTTCAGGACGGTCTCGGGCTCGATCGAAAACCACGAGTCCGAGAGCCAGGTTACGACCAGCACCATGTCGGGCTTGTACTGCAGCAGCATTCCCTCGCTTCGAAACTCTTCCCATTCGTGAAACATGTCAACGGTCTGGAACGTGCGGTACCGAGCTTTAAGAGTCGCGATGAGGCCCTGATCCAGCGGTTGCGTGAAACAGGTAGTGTTAGGCGGGAGAAATACGAGACGAACGTTGCTGAGCTCGTGGGTTCGGAAGCCTAAAATGTCAGCTGATGTGGCGAGCGGAGACAGCAGGTGGTGGCAGTTCGCGTTGTCCAGCAGGATGACGACGCTTCGGCCCTCGGCGGAATAGCACGCGTTGATGTGCTTGATATACTCAGTGAATAACTGCGTTGAACAATAAATACGAAATTAGCAGTAAGACTGTCGGATTTAAGAAAACTGGTGTACAACGAAAACAGTAGCAACCGGCGACCAAGCGAGAAATGAAAGGAACAATATAGAAATTATGCGAACGGCATGCTTCAGGTACTTACGACTCTAGTCATCCAGCCGGAACCGTTGCTGCGCCACACGCACTTTGTCACTGGGTCGAACTTCTTGCGGGCGAAGCAGCGCGGATTAGCGGTTTTGCTCACAATGAGGGGCTTGAACATCTGCGAGCCATCGGCGTTGCACATTAGCGCGACGTTTATGCGGTCCTTCTTATTTTTTTCGCCACTCACAGGGCCGTCAGCGAAAGTCTTTTTGGAATCTGGTTCCAAGCACATCCAGTCCCGTCATAGTTGAAGCAGTCGCGAGGCGCAACTGCGAGCAGAGTGAGCAACTGCGGGCACGTGTTCTTCGTTGTCATCACCGCGCCAAGGTCTTGGTCGTTAGCTTCGCCCTGTCTGTGCCGCCATTTATAACCCATCTGCTTCAGTGCTTTCTGCACCCACCCCACGCTAGCTTTAAATCCAATAGGAATGCCAGCTCCTGGTGCCATAATCCGGGCACGTTCTTGGATGACACCAATGGTTATGGGCAGCCCTCCCTTTGCCGCCCTGCCCAACCGTGACTTCAGGCGCTGCTCAAGCAGTGGGTAGAACGCGGAACGCAGGCATCGACTGGTGGAGCTCTCAGGGCCAAGTGCCTTCCACTTGGCCGTCTCCTTCAGAATTTTCCCCACGGTGCTAGGGTCGGGATAGACATCGTATCTGGTGAAACACCACCTTGCGAGGTCGCCGAGTCGAAGGTGAGCATGAGTTTCAGCATGTCGGCAAATTCCGACCTTCATAGCTATCGTCAGCGCTGTCCGTCTAAGTAACCTCATTGTGACAAGCCGGTTGAGCTCGGCGTTGAAGTTGGGTTCGTGAGTCAAAGCAGATCTGGCGGATTGTAAATACGACCTCAGTTAGCCTCATCTGTCGAAGGGGTACGTAGGCATGCCTCTATCAGCGCACATGCACAGGTGCCAGGTGGACGGGGGTACTAGCGGGCAGTTTCTGATTTTGTGTTCGAGGGGATGTTCCGTCGTAATTACGCAGCATCGCCGTGGCAAGCGCGTATTGGCTGGGCTCAATCCAACACAATTCTCCGGGATTTTCCGAGCTCGCACTCGCGGGTTGGTTGGCGACGCTAGGATGCTGTAATCGCGCCCAATTCGGGAGGCGCACGTCGATGTTCGGTGGCATTATGCGTCTGTCGTAACTGGCTGTTATGTTTATTGCGCTTTTTAGCGAAAATTAACAGTCCATGTACACCGTACAGACGGAGTACATCGTAGTGGATCCTATCGAATTCCGGACCTTGGAGTATTATATGGAGTCAAATGTCACGGACCTAATGGCATACCCGCTGTACAACGGTTGCTGCCCCGAGCAGATCAGTTGAGTCGGCTGAGCTGGCATACAAGATCCACATGGGATCTAGAGACTTCTTTAGATTGGCTCTGGTTGGGTGGAAATTTTGGTCAGCTGCACGCGCATTGGCTATCGCTGAAGAGGCGGAGAAAGCGGTGTTCGTGTCGCCACGTCAAATTTTGCCGTCAAATTACAGGAAGAGAAGTGTCTGTCCCGTTCAGGAAGGTCAAATCTTGCCATGCGGGCAACTCTCGACACAACGTGCAACAGTTCTCAAATCTCGCTGACCTGTGCTCAAAAGCTCACCCAACAACGGCTTACCTTTGGGTTTTCGTCCACACGGCAAATCCGGGTATCTCTCTCGCGAGACCCGAACAAAACGGGTTCATGTGAAACGTTACCCGTCAATTTCCACGTTCAGTCCCAGGATTTTTTCGGTAATAACAAAAGTACTTACGAAAGTTCCTGGATTTCACCAAGGGAACCACGCAAGAGTACTCCGCTCAGCTCTTATCCTTCCACCTCTGTAACTTCCTTACTAGGGCTTATTTTCCCATGGGAGGGGGAATGGCGGGGGCTCGGTGGGGTGGTGTGAGAACTTCAAGCATCCGTGTTTGTCAAAACTGAACACGTCATTCACGTGTTCTGGTCAAAATAACCCTTCAGAGTCCAGGTTCATGAAAATCAAGCACAACGCAATCCGATTTGGTCGAAAACTCACCCGTTATTTTGTCAAAATCCGGCTACTTACCCGTCAAAATAAGCCCTGCACCCCGCGCACCTGTGCACCTTACGGTTATCCTGCACTTGCGTTACAGTTATTCTACAGCGGGTATGCCATTAGGTCCGTGACATTTTACTCCATATAATACTCCAAAGTCCGGGATTCGATAGGATCCGCTACGATATACTCCGTCTGTACGGCGTACATCTACTATTAGACTTCGCTAAAGAAGCGCAATAAACATAGTGACGAATCATGACAGTCGCATAATGCC